GGACCCACAAAATATGTAGCGCTATACCCTCCTGCTTTCATATTCAGGTATAACGCCTTAATAAAAAGCGATATATGTATAACGCCCTTTTAAAGAGCGCTATACCTTAACGGGGCAAACGGACATTAAAGTATAGCGCCCTTTAGAAGAGCGTTATATATATTTTGGTCACTGTTTTTTTTCCACACATTTCTATCATTTGAGTCCAAAAGAACCACATTTTGGTTCCGGACTCATCAATTCGACAGAGGTATTAAAATATTGCATAGGGGCGGCTCAAGAAAATTGGTGGCTTAAAGCCAATTTTTAATCTGGGGCCTTTCAAAAGGAAAAAAAAATAATTCATCTATATTTTTAATTAAAGTCTATTTTTCTAGCTTTTTAAGATGTAAAGTTGTTAATAGTTTCTTTTTATAAATAATAATTTAATATCTCCTAAGATATTGTTGATCTTAGATAATAGAACCATATTCAGGAAGTTGATAACTTGATATCGAAATTATTCTTTATGTTCTAATATACTTGTTGAAACACTTGAAACCTGAAGGGAAAAAAAGAATGCGAATATAGTTTTATTCAACGATACTCTTCAACTCTTATTTTTTTATAGAAAAAAAAAACTCTTTTCTTTCTACTGAGAACAATATAACTTTTAATTGGAAAAAGAGAATCACTTCCCTAAACCTTTGTCGCGAAAATAAAACTTTTTATTATTTGAATTTTACGATTAACAAAATTAGTGAAGTACCTATATTATTATTCCCCTTTTCATTACTCACTAAAACATGTAATAAACTTTTAGAATCCGTTTTTTGGTATCTTCAATAGTCCAAGTCTTATTTTTGATCTTTACCTTTAATAAAATATTTTACTTTTTTATTTTAAAATACCTAATATATCTAGTCCCTACCTCTAAAGATTGATGTGAGATGTATATGATCCAACTTACCTAAATTAATTAGATATATTGGGTTCGAGTCTTGTGGTTAAACAAATCCTATCAAAATGTGTTCTTTCTTTTATTAGGCCTTACGCGGTACGAATCTAGATTAATCGGGATCTCAATACAAATACATATAAAAAACAAAAAGAAAAATTTGGGGGCCTAAAGCCTTTGCTACAGTGGCTTTGACCCTTGGGCCGCCCCTGATATTGCAGAAAAACGGAAGGTTTTTTTCTGCTAGCAGCAAAGGGCTCTTTTGTCATTATAAAATAATGTACATCTCATTTTAAAAATGCGCATATATGTGTTCACTAAATAACACCTAAAACAAAACCACCACGTAATTATTGAGCCAAACGTGCACATTCGGGTAAAAAGTTCCTCTGTCTCGGTCCAGATTAGCCGCTCTTGCGACGGCGTAATGGCCCTCTCTGTTTGCCGGTACCGGAGTTACGGTTTTGTGTCGCCGTTAATTCGGTGCTTCAGGTCACAAGCAGCATTGAAAGCGTTGGCTAAAGCGTCGGAAGACAAAATGCCAAACCTCATCCTCTACAATTATCCTTCATTTTCCGGAGCTTTTGCTGCGCTATTCGCTCACCTCTATCACTCTCGTCTCAACCTCTCTTACCTCGTCTTGCCTTTTTCTTCCGTTGAACCCTTCAGGTACCTAGTCGACATCTATGAGCTTCACAAAGCTCAGTTGCAAGTAAAAACGAGATAAAGGAGGATGAATGCTGGAAATTCATATAGAAATTAGTTTTAACTATGACGAATCATTTAGGTACTACCTGAACAGAACAAAATGAATAAAGAGGAATCATGCGTTCTATCCTAACTAATTCTTGATTGAGGCCTAATTGATCTAGGTCATTTGCATTGCAGGCAGGTTTAATTGCTGAAGTAATAGCAGGAGTTTGCTTTTGCTCATATTTTAAAAGAATAATAGAATCTGTAACTTTACCCAGGAGTCTCCTTTTATTATTTATTTCAACATGTCTCAGCGGTTGAGCATGTAATTTTGTCCTTTGTTTGTATTTTTTTTTTTTTTGTATAGAGTTGAAGACTTGTGTATTGACGGGCTGCAGAATTGCTACTTTCTTTATTTTGTTTGGTTCCGTTAAACGGAAGTTTGTCGAGTGGTAGGCTTGTCTCGT